TCCTTGTGTGGCCAGGTATTCTGTTACGGGGCTGACGAGACGTGAAACGTGCGGATCCATATGCAAAGCTTTATTGAGCAGAGAGGTCAGAAACACAGGCAGGGGCAAACAGTGGCAAACAGGTATATGGCGGGCAAGACACGAGAATAGTCCTAGGGCTAGCGTAGGTCGATGAACGGCAAACAGAATCAGAAGGGACAAGACTAAAGGGAGAAATCCAGGAAACCAGGCGAAGATCAGGAACCGAGAAAACAGGCAAGGCAAGACTAAGCTAGGCTAGGAGGCTAACGAGGGCTCGGTAGAGTAGCTATCAACAGATAGGCGCTAAACAATACTCGGCAGAGGGAAGGGAGCAGAGTGAGTGTTAAATTGTGAGGGAGTGATATGAAACAGCTGGGTGCAATCAGTGTTGTGCAATTAGTGAACCAGCTGTGTGCAATCAGTGCTGTGAATGATGGGATATGTAGTCCGGGAAGATATGCAACAGTGTGAGTGCGAGAGTCAATGAAAATGGGAAGGGTGACCTCTGATGGTTAGCCGACGGAAGTTCATGGACCGGATTCATGACAAGAACAGTCAGAATTCTTGAATTTCACATGTTTAAAATCAGGAAAAAGCAAAAAGTGACTTTGACAAGGGCCAAAGAGTAATTGTTAGTAATATCTAAAACTACAAGTCTTGTGGGGTGCTCCCATTATGCAGTAATTACTACCAAAAGTGGTTCAAGGAAGGAAAACCGATGAACCGGCTTCGTGGACATGGGCTCCCATTGCTCATGCAGAGACAATGTTATGCTCTGGGCAATGTTCTGCTGGGAAACCTTGGGTCCTGGCATTCATGTGGATGTTTTGACACGTATCACTTATTGTAAGATTGTTACAGACCATGTACACCCCTTCATGGCAATGGTGTTTCCCACTGGCAGTAGACTCTTTCAGCAGGATAATGCACCCTGCCACACTGAACAAAAAATGTTAAGGAATGATTTGTAGAACATGGCAAAGAGTTCCAGGTGTTGTCCTGACCTCCAAATTCCCCAGCTCTCAACCTGATTCAACATTTATAGGATGTGCTGGACCAACAAATCTGATCCATGGAGGTCCCATCCCAACATGCAGGACTTAAAAGATCGGCTATGCTAATGTTCAGAAGTCATATGGAGTCCATGCCTTGACACATCAGACCTGCTTTTGCAGCACAAGTGGGACCTACACAATATTAGACAAGTTGTGATTGACAACTACATTTATGAAACTACATTTTTCTCACAATGTCTTTTTCACACAGCAGCGTACAGTAGCAGCTGTGTACTGTCTATATGAAAGTGCAATGGGTGTCAAGCTGATATTCTGTCGCTTGCAACCATAGTGACAAATAAAATAATAAAGATCCACTGCAACATCTATAAAACTACCTAATCACATCTGAAACAACAAAAGTCCAGTCGAGGAACAAGTTATCTGTCAGATCTAAATGAACCCTACAGCAGAATTTATTCATGTGTGCAAGCAGTTGAACACTGCTGCACACAGGTGTCTTGCACTGCACAAATGCTAGAATGTACCAAACACTTGTAGATGCCAGGGGCCCCTCAGTTGATGTAGGAGTTTGGCCTTTTAAACACAATTCAACCTCTGCAGAGGCAGGCCCACCTCAGTCTGATCAGACCTGGGTGTGTGTCCCCATCATCTTGGGACCTAACTGGGGTCTTTACGCCTGATCCAGAGCCACCAGCTGTAGTGTTCTGAAGTAGCTGCTTTTTCTTTGATGGTTTGATGCAGGGTTTGGCTGTGGATTCCCAGCTATTTCAGCAGCCAGATGGTTGATGTTGCCACAAAGCCCCTGCAGCCAATCTCCACTGGATAGACCAATACTTTCTGTCCTTTTTGTTGAGCATTCAACTGCAATTTCTGCATACTGAAACTTCTTCCTCTAATTTGCCTCCTCAATAGCATCCTCACAGGGTACTGTCAATGAAATAAAAATACACAATGAGCAGGGTGCTGGACCACAAAACCAGGTCTTGGCTGGTACTGACAATTTTGAATGGGACCATGAGTTGCTGACCCACATCAGCCAGCATTTTCCAGTCCCAGGCTCCTTTGAGATGCACAGCCCTGGTCAATGAAGGAAGCTCTCCCTGTACCTTCTGCCCTTCCCAAATGGATAGTACTGCTTGGGTGGTGCTTGGTGTTCTGAAGAGCAGGCGTTGGTGGTTATTCTTTTCACCTCAGTCACTGCAGCCAGGCATTTTAGCTTCAATATGTCTCAATATGTACCTCCCCAAGTCAGGCTTACCTTGCAACCGGTAAGGATGTATCTAAAGGAAGGAGGAGATAATAATAATAAATATAATAATAATAATACCTTTTATTAATGATGAACATCGGGGACATGATGGGTCTTCCCCCAATCACTGTTGGAAATTTTTGGGTGAGGACAGGACTTTATAGGTTGCCCTGAGCAGGAAGCTGATTCTACTTGCCTCAATCTCCCACAATTCCGTCCTGCTAATTTTGTTCTTCTCTATGCTCTTCCAGTTCCACTATTCATACTGGGCTTGAGTGACTGCTTTAGCATGCCTTGCTGCCTCCTCCTGATGTCGGACATTCAGGACTACCAGTTTTCGCTGCTCTGAAGGTGTAGCCTTGTTCCTCCAGGGTCTGCCCTGACACAAACCCAACCCTCCTCTTCCCTGTTAAACATGGCCCACGATGTCGGGGTGCTGGATTGCTGATTGGGACTGTTGTCATGGGACTCTTGGGACTCGAGACTCTGAGAGGGTAATTTCTATCCCTGCTTTGGTGCATTAAACTCATACCAGACTTGAGATGGGTAGTTGCAGAGAATGCAGTGCCCGTACAGAGCAACACTACTTAGTCATCTTGAAACACCTAACCATTTCCTCATTTAGGAGCTTATGATTCTCTCCATCTTCTCCACTTTTGTGAGGGGAATGTCAACCATGGTTAGAGGCCAAATTAGTCTGGGCAGCAGGCCAAACTGTAGGCACCAAAGCTTTAGCTTTCTAGGGAGCATAGCCTTACCAATGATCTCAAGACTCCTGCCTACATTCTTTGTTCACTCTCTTTGAGGCTTGTATCCTAGAATTTTCCAAGTCTTTTGATTGGCTTTTCCAGTATTGTTGGTATGGGGGCGTTGTCAATTAGGAACCTTTGGTCAGACAGCTTTCCATAGAGAATAGAGATACTTCTCTAATTGGATGGATTGATCTTCATCCTGGCCCATTCAGTGTTCTCTTAGAGTTTCCTTAGCAGGTATCTGGTACATGGTGCTGTTGTGGTTAGGGTTGTAATGTCCTCCATATAGGCCCTTATTGGTGTTAAATGGATTCTGGACTTCGGGAGCTCGCTGCCAACCACCCACTTAGACGCCCTAATAATAACCTCCATCTCTATGGTAGATGCTAGTGGCATTATGCCCATATCGAGATGCTGCCACATGATGTGGAATCTGGTGTAGTAAAGTAGAACCACAGATCTTGATCAATAGCAGCCCAAAGAAAATGACATTGAGGTCTTTCTTCTTCCTCTTGGCTATCTGAATCTGGTGCCAGATCATGCTAGTGTGCTCCAGACATCCAGAGAAACCTGAAATTTCGTCCAATGACATAGCTTATAACTGTGTCCCCCTTGTTTTTCAGTGCAGTTCACTAAGTGCACTAAGAGGTCACGCTGTGCGATACAGTAGCAATCTTCTTCACGTGATATAACTCTGCAGCTCAGAGTACCCTATACTTCAATTTTGGAATGCAGTGAAATGTTCTTCCATTCTACAGCATTCACCTGTGTAGAAATGGAAGTCAAAGGAATAAAGTGTATTGTGACCACCCCTTTATTTTTTATGTAAAAGTGGGCATGACCATTTTTAACATGAATGTGCAAGGGTTCTAATGTAAGCCACTTCCAGTTACTTTAACAGCCCATTACTACTTGATTTTTCAAACTGGTATCTGGTATTTTCTGATCATAAACACTCTGGTTTGTAGCGCAAATAGTTTTACTGTTTACTGCATTTTCTTCTTCTCAAATACAGGGCTGACAACTATATTCTGCTGCTGCGTTTTGTGAAAATGAATTAGACTTGAATTATTCAGGCATGGAGCATTTCTCTATAAACAGAAGCTGAGTTTACTATGAAGGTGTGTTCAAATACAACATACCATCAAACATTTTGATCGTCCTGAGATTAACCATAGGGCCAACTGTGTACAAAGGGACTCAAGCTGTAACCAGGTTTTTACCGCCCCCCCCCCACACACACACAGTAAATCCAATTACAAACATCTGGATAACTAGACACTTAATAGATTTTAGTCAGGTTTTTAAAGTAATACAATTATTTGGATAGAATTCACTGGATGTGTCATATAGTCAGCAAAGGGAGAATGTTTGTGCAGAGGTTGCACTAAAATATAATCATTATCCAAATATGATGTCATAATATATATGTCATTTTTTTAACTAAACTATTCTGGAAAAAGCAATCAGACTCTCCGCTCATTTGAAATCTCACTATGGCTATTGTAGTGGTATGATTTTCACTCTATGTACATGGCATGGTATTATTTTGATTTAAAATAATTATATTGGACAGAATGTTATTTTATTAAATGGATAAAGTATTTGTAGTATCTGTATTTTGTAAATCATTATTTTTATTGGTGTTAAATTGTGAAACACATTTGTTAATGAACATTAAAAAACAGACTAATAAAATATGGACTGAAAACTTATATAAAGAAAAATATAAATTCTCGTGTTCTTTATGAAAATTGAAATATTCATAAACTGCATGTTATTTGAAGTCTTCCACATGCATTTTGTTTTAATGTTAATATCATAGTAAAATGTACTAATTTATCACTGTTCTTGTCAGAGAAGAGGAATTATGCTTCCTGTCCATGGTATCAGTATAAAAAAAAAATCATAAAAACAGTAGTCAAAAATTAATTTAGACAAATTTTATTGAAACACTGGAACACTAGTAACAAGAATCCATGATACGCCTCATGCTCATGAATCTCATGCCACCCATATTGCTGAAGCTCCTGTACTCTCCAGGCCTGAAGTACCACATTCTGCCTTTGTAGTGGGGCTGCTCATAGAAGAGCCAGTGGCCGTCCATCACATGACAGGACTGGCAGTGAGACATGCGGTAACGGTCCATGGTGCTGTCACAGTCATCCATCATCTCGTACATCTGACCCATGAAGTTCTCCCTCTCGTAGATCCTCATTCTGTAGGATCCCCTGTACTGTAGTGGAAGAGAAGGCAATTATATTTATGTTTAACAGGCTGAACTTTTGGGATCAAATATAAAGAGGCCCAAATGTGTTTACTTTCTCATGTACTATGATGATAACATTTGCAAACGCATTCAAACGTTCGTAGTACTCACCATAGGGATCATACGGCAGGACCTGATGCATTCACTCATTCCAAACATAGACATGTAATCAGCGTATTCGCCCCTTCTAAAGAAATACTGATTTCCCATGTAATTGGGATGATCGTACATCATCCAACATCCATTCTCCACTCTGCAAGAGTGACAGCGGCTCATGTAGGAGTGCAAGTCAGCACAGTCACTCATGCACTCATAAGAGCGACCCTGGAAGTTCCTGTCCTCGTAGAAGATAACCTGAAAAGTCCAAGTTATTATTATACTGATTTAAAGTTTTTCATTAGGAAAATTTGTTGCATTTATGCATTCTATATAATTTGATAAGATAACTTTATGCATGACATAATCTCATTAAACAGTTTATTTTATTTTAGTATTTAGTATTTTCAGTTTGCGAGTTGTTGCAACTTTAGATCGCATAACTTACTTTGCCCATGGCCACAGTTGTGCAAGTTGCTCCTCAGGACTGAGTGGATCTGCCAGCTACACTGATACAGTCTGTTTGTTGCGCTCACTTTTATACCAAAGAATATGTGCCCTGCATTGTGAGTAAGCTCCTGACCCAGCAAAAATACATGGAGGTCCTAATGCAAAGTGAGATCTATAGGGATATTTGTCAGCATGAGTGGTACTTTTGTGAGTGGGCCACACAATTTCCTTTTTAGATTTGAAATGATATAGAATTAACTGTACATGTATATTACTTAATATTAAAAAAATGCTTATTTACAAAACACTGTTCAGTGGTAAGGCAACTTATACACTATGCGATGAACATGAGTTTAATGATTTTATTTATTTTTTTATTTTTTTCCTGGAATTTTCCATTTTGCACACCCTTAGGAAACTGGTAGTAGCAATCTATTGATACCTGTCAATCAATTATATTTTGATACAGTATATGTAAGGGATAGAGTACATCCAGCTGGTTGTTATTGCAGAATATACCTCTGCAGGGTTTTAGGACCCAGGCACAAGTGAAGTGTTACAGTGTTTAAAAGGTTTGGTCTGAAACACTTTAATTTTGCACATTATTGCCAAACAAAATGTTATTTTTCAGAGTAAATTGGACAAAAAATAATTAACGTGTTGAGACGAAATAACTAAATTAAAGACATTTTTGTCAACAACAACAAAAAACGAGCACTGATTGCATAGTCCCCCCCCCACCCCCCACTTATGGTGTAGTGTTCAGGTTTAAAGGTAGCTGGTTTGATCAACCCAAGTACTAAGCTTTGAGCTATCCCCATTGTGTGGTTGAGCAAGACAATGAACCCCAGTTCACTCCAGGGGGTCTCTCTAAATGTATCGTACTGTACTGTGTCTGAAAAAGGTTTTTATGTCCATTATGTGTGACAATAACTGTGGTATCATCTGCATCTCGAATATTTTGACAAACGGTTCCCTACAAGTGCTGTCACTTCTGTAGAGGGATTAAAGAAGAAGAGCAGTTGTCTGGGGGTGCACCAGTACTAATAATCATTAATAATAGTTATTGGTATACATTGATCAGATGTAGCATTAAAACCACCTGCCTAATATTGTGCAGACCCGCTTATGCCGTCAAAACAACTCTGATGCATCAAAGCATGGACTTTATTTGACCTCTTAATGTGTCCTGTGGTATCTGGAACCAAGACATTAGCAGCAGATTGAGAACTGCCTTTAAGTCCTGCAAGTTGGGAGGTGGGGACTCTATGGACCAGATTTGTTGGTCCTGTACATCCCATAGATGCACAGTTGGATTGAGAGCTGGGGAATTTGGAGGCCAAGGCAACACCTTGAACTCTTTGTTATGTTCCTCAAGCTCTTCCTGACTAATTTTTGTAGTGTGACGGGGTGCATTATACTTCTGAAAGAGGCCACTGCCATCAGGAAACACCATTGCACTTTCAACAGTAGACAGGGGTCATCATGGGCACTCTGACCAGTCTGTGGCTACCTAGCCCTCAAATCAGCAAACTGCAATGCACAGTGTCTTCTGGCATCTTTCTGTCATGGCCAGCATTATGTTTTTCAACAAACTGAGCAACAATTCTGTAGCTCCTCTGTGTGATTGGACCAGATGCGCTAGCCTTCACTCTCCACCTGCATCAATGAGTCTTTGGCACCCGTAACCCTGATGCTGTTCATCGGTTGTCCTCCCTTGCAGGGCCGTACAAAGACATTTTGTTTACCCCTTTCATAATTATTTATAAAATATAGTTACAGTTAATTACTCTAATTAACACTATACACAAGGCTGTTATACCAATTAAATTAAATCAGTATAAAAAAAATCCATCTTACCATTTATTACAATTGCATAAATAATGTTATGAGTATAATATTGTAAATAAAACATTATGAACACAGAAATACACTGAACAAAATTATAAATGCAACACTTTTGTTTTTGCCCCTATTTTTCATGAGCATCCCAAACACGCTCAATGGGTGACATGTCCGGTAAGTATGCTGACCATCCAAGAACTGGGATGTTTTCAGCTTCCAGGGATTGTGTACAGATCCTTGCAACATGGGGCCGTGCATTATCATGCTGCAACATGAGGTGATGGTCATGGATGAATGGCACAACAATGGGCCTCAGGAGCTTTGTGCACTC